AATAATGTTGTAAATATTTTGTAGACGATGCAATTTTCTCTAAGGGATAATGTTGGTTTTGCTATGAAGCCAACAGGTGGCTCCATAGTGGAGCCAACCTTCTTTATACAACATATAAACCTACCATATTAATAAAAGTATATTAGTGTTATTTAAGTAATCTGAGAATATGATAGGTTTATTTGTTGTATATAGAAAGTTGGCTCCACTATGGAGTCAACTGTTAGTTCCATAGCAAAACCAGGAATAATGGACATAACTTTTTTCTCATAAAGTTATTGCCCTCTTACCGTTCATTTTCATTTTCATCAACTGAGCCTATAATTTCTTCAATGAAATAGGGAAAATTTTCACTTATCCTACATGAAATTAAAATTTTTTCAAATCTATCATCCATTAACAAGTTTTGTATCTCTAATTGTCAAGATTTAACTACATTTATGCCTAAATTTCAGTTACCTAAAAAGTGGACTTCATCCACTTTCTGTTCCCATGATTTCCGCGGTTTCCATATAAAAAAAAAAAATATATATATATTCTTTTGCCTTCATTGATATGAAATGAAAATCAGCCCGTTTCCATAAAAAAAAATCACCCGCAGCTTTTACATTTTTTAATAGATAGAAATAAAAAACATGTATTGTAATTCACACAACCGTCATATGGTATATACTAGTACAGTACCCGTGCGCAGCACGGCGGGGTTATTTCCTCAAACCTTTTTTTTAAACTTTATTTTAAATATTTTTTTATAAATTAATTATTTAATTACAATCGAAAGAGGATAGAGGAATACAAAATATAAACAAAAATCATATAGTATTAAACACTTCTCTATACACAACATTATTGGTTTGATTTTCTTTCAAACCTTCTTCTCCACAAATTAAAATTTTCAGACCCTTTCTGTTAGTAACACGGGAGACAACGAGATATAACTGGCCATGACTAAAAACTGGCTTCTTCAAGAATAAACCAACATGCGATAATGATTGACCTTGACTCTTGTTTATAGTCATTGCGTACGAAACCATAATGAAGAAGTGCCTTCTTTGAAATTTGAATGGTACTCTAACATCAGAAAGAGTTATTGTCATCCGAGGTATCAAAACTTTATCACATGCATGATCGCCAGTAAGAATTTTACACTCGAGAACATGATTGGAGAGTTTAGTCACAACCAATCGTGTACCATTGCAGAGTCCCATTAAGTGATCCATATTCCGCAACAACATAACTGGAGTTCCGACCTTCAAATTCAATTCATGGTTCGGCGTTCCAGAACACTTGATAGTGGTCAAGAACTCAGGAGTATAAAGTTGTGCCACAAAGTCGGTATTGGAGTCGGATTTACACGTACTGTATGAACTTAAATACGTGCGTCCCTCAGTCAAATTTAACGACGACATGTATTCATTAATAGATTGTACGATATCGAGGGCGCAAGTATAGCTCTATCCTTCAAGTAACTTGGATCGTCGGTTGCATTCTTGAACTGGATCATCGGATGGCTCTAGTAATAGATCATTTGGTATGTCTATCGGAGAACATCCATCATTTTTACCCCTCAATGTTCCATCTCCAATGCTCGCTATCCAATCAGCAAAAGCGGCCAACTCGTCACGTTCATTCGAATCGCCAATGCTCCGAAGACGCATATTTTTTGTAAGCCTAAGCACAGTACATTCTCCTAAATGCTAGAAGAGTTAATAGCAGCATTAACAATCTTCTGACGACTATCCTTTGGAACTACTGGAAGGATTTGTAGAAAGTCTCCACCAAACACAACAGTCTTGCCTCCGAACGGTTTATGATGATTTGTCGGGTCGAGGGCTCCCATTACTGTTTAAAAGATGCTTGAACAGCTACAAAACAATGTTTATGCATCATTGGGACCTCATCCCATATGATCAATGAAGAGCGAATAATCAACTCAGCAAGGGGGCTAGCCTGATTAATCTCAGACGATGAATTTTCATGCACATAAATAGGAATGCCAAATCGAGAATATTGTGCAGTTCGTCCGCCCGGCTATAGGAAAGATGTTATTCCACTTGATGCAACACAAAGCACAATTCGACCGTGCAATCATAGCCAAGCAGCTAAAGTCCTCCACAAGTATGTCTTTCCAGTTCCACCATAACCATACACAAAAAACACGCCGCCCCTGCCGGAATGAACATATGTCATTATTTTGGAATAAACACCCTTCTGTTCATCGGTCATATGTGTCAGCAATGCATCATGCTCAACGCTGAAGGATCGATGTAATTGAGAACGCATAAGAGAGGGGTTAAAAGGACCCCGTAGCCCAGACCCTGCTAATCGGAGAATGCAAAGAAGGTGGTTAACGGTCCCGGAGAAGTCGGAGCTTGGTCCACATCGAGAACAAACGTTCGTGCCAAGGAGAAGGTGCGGGTTCAATTCCCCTGGGTTTGCCTGTTGCTTCGCTTGAAGCTCCCACTGGATACGGGAATGGGAAGGCACAAGGTTCGCCATAAAGGCCAATAGCTAGAGCCTTACGGTCATAGTTAAGTTCATCCAAAACCAGACAGTTCGCACTTGAATTAATATTACCCATATCTGGAAAAGGCATAGTAGAATAGTCCTTTATTCCAAACCCAACCTAACTCAACCCAACATAATATTTATTTTATATTTATTTATATATTTATTAAATATTATCTACAATAATTTTTTTGTTATTGTTTTAGTTGTGATATGATAAAATATAGATATGATAAAATTGATAAGTCACGGTTAAGAAAAAAGAGTGAAAAGATAGAAATTGCAATTATGTTCCAAAATATATCAAGAGTGGTCTCTATTTATAGAGAATGAAAAATAAATTTTTATTTATTTTTTTCATATAAATTGATATCAATAATTTGAGTTACAATTATCTAATTATAGAAAAATTTTATAGACCAATAAGAATGAGACACTTGCCCCATTTCACTCACCTCATTTCTCTCTCCCTCCTTGTGGCTAGGTTGCGACCTAGGGTCACAATTTGACTTGAGTCACGGATTTTGCTATTTTTTATTTTTTATTATTTTTTAGTTGGTGACCTAATAAACATAATATAATAGTTATTTTATTTTTATTTATTTAATAAATATTATCTACAATACATTGTTTGGTATTGTTTTATCTACAACCTAACACAACATAATATTATTAATTGTATTCCAAAACATATCAAGAGTGGTCTCTATTTATAAAATATGAAAAAATACGAATTTTGGTATTTTTTATTTTATTTTTTTAAAATATAATAATATCACTAATTTGAGTTATACTTATCTTATCATATAAAATTTATAGTGCACAAATGAAAATCGGATAAGTGTCCCATTCCTAATGTATGAAAGTTAGATAATATGGAATCTCCAAAAAATCTTCATGTAATCTTTTTATTTGAATTTTTTAATTTTTTTATTTTTTCAAAATTTTCAAAATTGGTTGGATGGCGCTCGAATTTTAATTTTTAGCCAAAAATCTTTCTCATTTTATTCACTTTGGGCGGGAATTGGCTTCTTTTTTTTTTGCTTACTTTTTTTCATCTTTTTTCAAATAAATATCATTCCCTCTTTATATATTAATAGATAGATTGTGTTTATGTTAGTATATGTTCAGTATATGTTGCAACGAAAAACATGTATAACAGGTACTTATATTCCCTATACAATTTTTTTTTTTAAATATACTGCACATATACTCTCTATACACACAACATATATTGCACAGTTTACAAAAAAAGCTTCTTATATATTGAACATATATTCTCTATACACACCGCATATACTGCATGCCTATACACGCAACATATATTGTCGTGAACATATACTGTACATATATCGAAGATATACTGTACATATACTCCAACCCAAAGTCTATATATTGTACATATACCAAAGATATACTGTACATATACTCCAACCCAAAGTCTGCGAATTTCAACGTACTAACTGATCTACACACAATCCAGTACCCCTAAAAAATCGAAACAAAATTAAATTTTCCTGCAACCAACCAATCATCTCCCTAGAGTCCGAAAACTTTACACACGCGGAGAACCCGAGCACTGCCTCGCCGATCGTCTTCTTTATCTTCCCTGTCATTAAATCATCGTCGCCGGTGTCGGCAGATTCTCTACAACAATCACCTTACTTTCTATATAAGAACAAAGAAGATGATGTAGAAAAAAAGAAAAATCGATTATACTGGATCTCGGTTGTAAGGGTTCTCCTTCCGGGGGGATGGTTGATTTTTGCTATTAATTATACTTTTGTTCCTCGGCAAAGAAGATCGTGTAGAAAGAAGAAAAAGCAGTTGAGAGCAATGACGTGACAGATAAAGGAGATGACGTGAAATTGATTTATGATTTATGATGGAGAGAGAAAAGAAAGAGGTGGCATGAAGTTATGAACGATAACCACACCCAATAAAATATGCCATAACTTACCATTTCACAAAAAAAAAAACAATAAAAAATTAATATTGAAAATTTCCGTATATATGAAAATATTTTTTGCATGCTATTCAAATTTGCTAATAAAAAAAGAAGTATCAGATATGCAAATATGTTTGGATTTGTCTATTGGTGGCATAATTTTCTCAAGAGATGACTTAGATGGATAATTGGGCCTCATGGTCTAACGGCCCAATGAGACGATATGAAGTTATTGCCCAATATTTTAGTAAATTAAAGATAAAGATAGGGTAGATTGATTTGGGCATCGTTTAAAACTACCAAGCTGTGAAGTAGGAAATAAACTCTCATGCAGACGTCAGACCAAGTCAGACATGGCGTAGGATAGCATGAGGATATACCCTAAAATGCGCGAAGGTGCGCATCGTCTGCGCTGTCACATACGCAATCCCCACTCGGCTAAACCACGACCAATAACTCAAATCATTTTCTTTCTCCGTTTTCACCACCGCTTTCTCACCTGTACTCAACGTTTCGGAAAAGCAAATTTGTGCCTCCGGCGGATATGAGCACCGGCGGGAGTTTTTTTTGGGCGCGAAATCGCCGTGAAAAGCTCAAGTTGAAGGGAATAGTCGTGGCTTTCGCTTGGATTTCGGTCGGCGATGCTCAATTGAAGGACTTCACCGACCTCTGCTCTTCGCTCGGATGGAATTCTCTTGTTTGCCGCGCCGATTATCTTAATCCGTAAGCTCTTTATACTTTTAATGTGTATTTTGTTTTTAATTTTTTGGTTGTTAGATGAATTTGAGGAGCTAGAATGGATTACTGAGTCAAGCTGTAGTTGAAATTTGTCCATCGTTGAACTCATTTTAGGATTATTTGTTTGATGATTCTGAGTGTGCTGTGTTTGTGTTAGTGTGTTCATTGTTGGAGATGCTTCGAGGTGCGTATATCAACTGCAACAGCATAAGGAGTTCCCTGTTTTAGATGATTTAAGTGTCGAGGCTGAAAAGTGTATACTGAATTGGAATTGCCAACAAGTTATTGCATGTTGTAAGAGAAAACTGGGAAATAATTGGTGATCATTGTTGATTAGAACGAGAAGGCATGCTTACTTCTGAATGTAAGATACATTGTAGTAGTCGATTTGGCTCGTGCTTTATCTTTTGGTTGTTTGATGAACTCGATTATGTTATGACATTGGGATTCATGCTTTTTATTTACATGTTCTACAGAGTCTAGCTTTACTCGAGAAGTTTATAGTAGTCTTTTAGTTTGTATTTTGGTTGTATGTATCAATGAAAACAATATAAAGTATTGCCAGTTTTAGATGATGTTAAGTATTACGGTGGTGACATTTGTTGTGGACGAAAGAGTGCATTCTGGGTCAAACTTGCAAACAGAGTTATTGCTTGTGGGACAGGAGGAAAGGTGAAATAGGCAGTGATGATTGTAGAATTAGAATATGGGTATAGTTAAACTAATTAGAAAACAATTACTACAGTTATATGAGGCTCAGTATCTAAGTTAGACCATGTGAATTGCAATGCAATGGATGTGCCAATATAACTGATTCATGCCTGTCTTTTATTATACACGACCTGCATTTGCCTCATAACCTGTTTCTATACATGAGTATGAATATTGGTGGATTTTTGTTTTTTCCCAGATTCATCCCCGAGAGAGCTACATCACTTGCCTTTTCTGTCATCGGTGAGCTTATCAAGGTTAGCCGTATTACCATGCTTATTGTGTGGACATATTATCTAACTGAAAAGTGGTGATTTTATTTAATCACCGTTGACTCAATAATATTAACTTTATGGTTCTTTCACTATGCGCCAGCTGTAAGAAATGTGAATTATACAGAGTAGGATTGTTATAACTCTTTTTCTGAGTTTTCGGTAACTTCGATGGCTTTTCTAATAGAATCTGAAAATATTTTTACTACCCATAATTGCTTTTGTAATACGTTCTGATTAACCTTAAATAGATTTGGCTGATTAATTATCCTGTGTTCCGTTTTTTCCATATGTATAGGAGCTTAGATGTGGATTATGTCCTGTAGTTCTCGTATCCTTTTCTGGTGGTTCTAAAGCGTGCATGTATAAGGTTCTCCAGGTAAATGAATATATTTGAGGTGATCTTAATTGATAGACATTACATATGACATAACTGTTCCATGCATCACACTTCTGAAAATCCATTTCTTTAAGAAATGTGATGTTTCAATTACATACCTTAGACCAGTCAATTTATGAACTTTGCTGACTATAATGTTGCACAGATCATTGAAGGATGTTCGGATTTGGAGCTCTGTCTGGTAAATTTCTTTTGTGCTTCATTAAACTAATTGTTATATATGGCTAAATGAACATTGCATTATTTGACACTCGTGCCCCGTGTAGGAGGACAATAGGTTACTTGCCAGTTGCATCGCAGGACAGATTTATGATTCTGATCCTATAGACTTTACTTCTGATTTGGGTGCCCGGTTTGCCCTGCACCGCTCTATCGTCAAATTGCCGGGATCATCAAAGCTGGTTTCGTTGTTTGCAAAAGGGGTCACCTCAAGCTTGGATGCTCTATTTATCACCAGATTTGGATCCCAACGTGCAGATTACTGGCAGACCCTTTATTCCTCGGTTGTAAGTTTCAAAAGTGGGCTGCAGTTTTCTAATCCGATTAAACACGGTTCTTTGTTCTGAAAGTTATATCACATTTAGCTGGGCCTTTTGACCCTTCAATTCATTTCTCTCCGTTTTATGTAGGGTTTGGGAGCCCCGTTTCTTATTTTATGTTCAGAAAATGATGAGGTGGCTCCACGCTCAACCCTGACCAAATTTGCTCAGCATTTACAGGATATAGGCGGTTATGTAAAAGTTGTGACGTGCAGTGCAGGTTACGTTTAATTTTTCTCTCTTCTTAGAATTTCGAGTTCATTTTAGTTCTGTCTCGTATGATAGACAAATGTGAATATGATAGGACTATGAATATGTTCCAAGGTTTCGAGTTCTGAGTATTCACAAGTCACAACCCTATTATTTTGTCATTTGCTCTCAGATTTGAGTGAGACATAATCTATTTCACATGCTGCTAATTGCTATAATTATCAATTAGTTTATATCTTTGTTCACATCCTAATCCTAACATGCTCAAGCTATTTGCCTACAAACAGGTCATATCAAGCATCATTCAATACAGTATACAGCTGCTATAACTGAGTTTCTTGAGCAGTCAACTTCATTTTTCTCCGAGAAATTACGGAGTATGGGGGAAAAGTCATGCATGGACGGCATGCATGATGAAATTTCTGATTTGATATGTGATCTCCAGAATGCGGCAGTTGACTCGAATCAGAGCTTCAGAAGAGTGGCGGTCGGGCCAAACGATCACTTTTTCCTGCCAAGCTCATCATATTACCATAACGATGGGAAAGAATTCGGCTCTATACAACAAGAAAGAAAAGAAAGGTCACCTAATCATTCAAGACCTCCTTGTATGAGTGCAAATAGTATCCTCGGCCAAGCGCTTTTTGATGCATGTGTTCCGAAAAATGTGGAGGGTTGGGATATTAAGTTCTCCGGGTCATTGAACGGGGAGCCGTTTGCTTCTGTTCGCAAGAGGTCACCTTTTAGAGGTATTAAGCTTAAATCAAGATTATGAGGAAAAAAAAAACTTGATATACATATATTGTTAAAATGAGGCAATGCATTATGTGTATGGTAACTAAGTTGGAAGTATTTGCGGCGAATTCTGTTGGAGGAAGTTTGAGGACCATGGTATTTCAGAATATACAATTTGGTGATTTCGATGGAAATCTAGGCGAGAGCCAAACTGATGGGGAAATGCATGCTACTGTAAGCCGAAGTAGATCAAGGCATATATGAACTAGCGTATGTGATGTGATGTCAATCTTGGTACATTGAGCGCCTCGTGATGTGAGTTCCTAACTTGTGATATAAAATCTCAAGGGATGAGATTTTGACTGAGTAATGTGTATATAGTAATAGTTTGAAAGTTGCTGTTCCATGAGACTAGCATGTTTGTATATATGATGAACGAATAAAACTCGCTCGCCTGTATAGTTACGTGCAAGAATAAGCTATTGTGAGATGTTGCTCATAGTACTCAGTCTTTTACCATTTGTCACCTTGTCTGAGATTTTGGATGTCACTTGCCTCCAGAAAACCATACTTTCTCCATACATGAAATTGACATTGATTTTAATGTAACTTTTAGGGACTGCCATACATGAAATTGTCCTCGAGGCCCTTTGTATGATTACGTGCGAGCAAACATTCAAGAGTTAAGAGGCCAGTGATGAAGGAAGAACAGTAAAATACTAGGGGCTTGCTAAATCAATTATTTGTTTGGCTGCTTTTTCCACAAGGAACACGTTTTTCGGGTTGAAAGCAACAAAGAGAAATGTATATTTGATAGGTCAAGGAATATGTGCATTTTATATGTTTAATAGTATACTTTTATACAATCAGTTCGGATTTATGCTTGATATCAAAGACCCACTTGCAACCAATCGCACACTTCTCAGATGGAAGAGAAACCACATCTCACGTGCATTATTCTCCAAGGCACGAATCTCATCCATCATAGGGACACGCCAAGGAGGATCGTTTATAGCATCAACAAAAATGCGAGGCTCAACAACAGAGGCGACACTAGCCAAAAAGACTCGATGAGCTGGGGAGAAAGAGTCACAAGAAACATAATGTGCTCTCGGATAAGACGTACTTGAAGATGATGACGACTCGAGAGAGGAGAGACGAAGACTGTGACAAAGATTATCTCAATCGGATGATATAAACTCTCTATTAACCAAGTATATATACACAAAATTAATGTTATACAGATACCTAAAGATGACCTAAAGGTACTACAATAAATACACAATAACAACCGGGACTACATATTCTAACCTCCATATTCTTTAAATGACCACCCTCACACTACATAGCTTATCAAGAAAACCTGTGATTTAGCTTTTGACAGAACTAGTTGTTGGTTATGTCATTTTTATTAGAGAGGAAAATTTATTCATCACTCTTA